GGTTTTTGGACAAAGTTTGTGTTTTTCCATTGTTTAAGCACTGCTTCCAGCCAAGAGTGATACCATATATGTCCCATAGCTGCAGAAAAGGCTAATATTGTTATCTTTTTACAAAAAAAACAGCTGAACATGAGAGGTTTTTGGACCAATTTTGTGTTCTCCATTCTTTAAGCACCGGTTCGAGCACCGTTTAAGCACCGGCACCGTTTCAAAAGTACCGATTTGGCACCGGTATCGGATAAAACCTAAACGATACCCATCCCTAATCAGGTGTATACAAATATTTATGCATAATAATAAATTCAACTTATATCAAAAACACAAAAAGGTTATGAATAGAGTAAAATTATTTAGCTTGGCAGTATTATTAACAATTTCACTAATGAGGACTCAGATCTCAGTGCTTTGATTCTCTTTCCTAGGTTCATCTGATCAGCAGATGAATAGAAAGCGTGTGTGCTTGTGTGTATGCGTGTGTGTGTTCCTGTGTTTGTGTTTATGTTGGGGGGGGCATCTCATTTGCATTATAATTGTAAAATTCTACCTAATACAGCTAATTATAAATATGATTCGGCTTGCAGATATTTTTTACTCCTGAATAAAATATCTACATCTCTTTAATTATCAGGTAGCAAAACCTGAAATAATAAACCCACAGAATGAGGAACTTCTTTCTGCAAATCTTCAAAACCTATTTTTGGGTAATCAAATATAATCTGAAGTAGCTTATTCTTTTAACTCATTGCGTATTTTGGGTACTGTGCTAATGTGCTTTAAATTGGAGATTATGTATCGGAATTTCAGGAGCAGGAGCACGCCTCCAAACACGCTCCTTCCGGCTGTCATCTATATAGGTTCCCCTAGTTCTGCAAGCTGATCATTCTTGTTTACGTGCCCCACCTCCCCTCCCTCCTTCTTCTCCAGTCTTCAACTTCTTCACTTCTATTTAGTACATGGGGATCTGCCCGGCCCGGGAGCCGCTGCCAGTCCCCTTCGAGGCCTTCCCCAAACCGCAGCTCAATTCATGTCAAAGCATTCACCTTTACCTACTAAAACACTGTCAAACTTAAAATGAGGATGTGGGCCCAGCTAGTGACATATGAGTTTTTATAACTGATTTTAATATTTGATGTTTAATATGTAATGAGGATGTTTTCTTTTGTTTGGTACCTCTCTCAAACTCAAAAAGCAGAGAAGAGCATCCCGGTATCAAACACTCTTATCCTTAAATGATTCTTAGATGCTTAGATGATTCTCAGTGTTCACTTTTTCTTTATTGTCGATAAATATTTTCAGTTTGCAGTGACTGCAGTAGGAAGTTAGCTTGTGTGGCTAAACCTGTCATATTTACATAAAGAACTTAAGTGCTGTTGTTAATTAATATGTTGTACTCCTTTTGAACTTAATACGAAATAAAGAATATATAATGTATTCTATAATAAAAGAAAAAAAGAATTTACAATCTTAAAATGAATCTGATAAAAATTTGCTTAAAAGACTGATAGACTCATCAGAACATAAGAAATGTGTGTGAGACTGCAAACTTTGTATCAATCCGATACAGAGTAAGTACAGGGCCTGTATTGCCGACACCATTACTGATACTAATTCTTTTAGCTTACATATTTAACTTTTGAAGTTCTTTACCACGGCTAAAGCCATAGAGTTAGATTTAGTCTCTTGTTTGGATTGCAGAGACCTGGGGCCTGTTCTTCGTACATCGCTTACTACATCCAAGATCAAATGACACATCCAAGATCAAATGACACATCCAAGATCAAATCATCGCGCTAACCGTGAGCTCGC